GAGCAATATGACCATAATATGGACTTTGAAAACGCCGAAATAGTTAGTAGAGAGAAAAATTATCGCAAACGATTGTTCCTTGAGGCTTGGTATTCCCAAGTGGACAAAAGTTCTGGCAATGACCATATTAACATTCCAGACGTTTATGGGTCACTGATGCATCCAAATTAATAGCTAACGAACCGTATAAATAGAGGCCTGTTTATTGGCTTCTTAGTTTTTTAATATCAACTGACGAAGATCGGAGGTTTCTGATCGAAACGTCTTGTAAAAACTTTTTTATAAACGTGATTACGTTTTTTACATAGCTAGTGACAAGAAACTTTTAATCTTTTAATATATAAATATGAATCCTAGCTGCAATTTTAGCATTTTTCGTCTTATATATATATATATATATTTATATATATATATATATATATATATATATATATATATATATATATATATATATATATATATATATATATATATATATATACGAGTAGGTTTGTGTATACGAAACGCAAAGAGTGCTCAATATCATAAAGATAGAGCAAATGTAGAATTTCGCTTACCTCAAAATTCCGCAACAGTCTGTTTCATCAGTAAAGAATCATTAGGCGATACCGCCTGATGATTCTTTACTGATGAAACAGACTGTTGCGGAATTTTGAGGTAAGCGAAATTATATATATATATATATATATATATATATATATATATATATATATATATATATATATATATATATATATATATATATATATATATATATATATATATATATATGTTAATCACCGTAGGTAAGTATTTTTTAGTGAACAGGAAAAGTTGAGACTGAGTCGGAATCCGACTCAGTCTCAACTTTTCCTGTTCACTAAAAAATACTTACCTACGGTGATTAACATATATAAAAATTATAAATGCCATATCGTGATGATTAACATATATATATATATATATATATATATATATATATATATATATATATATATATATATATATATATATATATATATATATATATATATATATATATATATATATATATATATATATATATATATATATATATATATATATATATACTCTGTTTCACAAATGTTCTGTTTCGCCAACGGCAACGTAGAAACTTGAGGACTTAGTACAGATTTATGTGTATGTAACATCTTTCAATTTGCAATTCATTTCCGACTTTCCATTCCATGTTTTTCCATTTTTAATTAAAAGAAAAAATTTATCAGTAATTATAAAACTCATTAATAATTCATGAAGAAAATACAAAAGAAATGAATGAATCAATGTTTGTAAATCGCATAAAGATTTGTCCTGATTTACATAAACTTCATGCAGCTTTGATTTTCCCGGCTTTAATAGACAATGTTTATTTTTAAAATTACTTCACCAATGAACTCATAAGATGGGTCGTTTTATAAACACGATAAAACATGAGCAGCCGATCTTTATCTGATATACCAATTCTCGTCTTCGGCTCGAGTTTGTATATCAGATAAAGATCGGCTGCCAGTGCCTTTTTTAACTATATATCTGGGGGGGCAATTCCCCCCCCCCAAGGAAAGAATTTGCCCCACCCCCCAGTAAAGCCATTTCTGCCCCCGAAGTGCGAAGCAGAATTGCTCATGATTGCTGTCAGAGTTGCAGTTGATTTACTTGATAATAAGATTATGCCCTTCCATAGCCTCCTCCACATTCATCTTGTGTGTAATTCATCTTGTTCTTCACCGAGTATTTCATAGCGATAAATTTCATGCAAACAATCCGATAAAGTGCTAGCCTTTCCAAGCCTTGCGACTATTTCCTAGCACTCTCCTCCACAGAGGCGTTTTGTTTTGGGAGGTTTTATTGCAAATTTTTTTTCTCTTAAAAATATCAAGTTATATTAAGAGCCCCCCCCCCCCAATCGCCACAAAAACCATTCTCTCAGAAAGGCTAAATCCGTAGAGAATTTTTTTGGGAGGGGAGGGGGTACACGTTACATGCTCGAAACTGAAACTGATTAAGTACGTTTCGACTGAAGAAAAAGACGATATACTGGAGGAACTTGATTTGTGAAATCTCGTTAAAGCAGATGTAGATATGGTTCCAAGAAGAATAGATTTAGTTTAGATTTTTAACTGTTAAATCCATGTATGCATCATCATAGCATGAATATTTGACTTATTCTGTATCGTATGAAAAAGCAACGCAATTTTAAGAATGCGGAAATGGTGTCTCATAGAACCTAAAATGATTTAAATGCAACATTTCTGATCAAAATCACATTGGGATCCCCTCCCCCAGCATCACAGAGAGAAAATAAGGTGACACTGACCCCTCCTCCTATTTTTCAAGGTGACTTTTCCAATTTATTTAATTCCAAGTAGAAATGTCTGGAAAAATTCATGTCTTCGTTGTACTTTATAATCTTCGGAATTCTGCTAGATTTCACCCCCAAAATGCATGAAATCGCAATTCAGGGACCCTAGATTTCAAAAATTTTCAAACCCCGGACCCTCCTAGACGGTCTCACGCCTTCGGTGTGAGGTTCGCCCCCCACCCCACCCGCAAAATTAAGGTTTCGCTACGCCACTGGTTATAGCTGTACGATTATAGCTACAAAGGGTTGAAGTTATTGTTTAAAGTAAAATATAGCTGAAGTTAATAAATTAAAGTTTTACAAAAACTCTCTTCAGACACGTGCGTTCGCCAAACCTCGACGGCTCATATTTTTCGCTCTGACTTTTTTTCCTGTTTTGCCAGTGAAATTCCAAAAAGTACCGCCTACGCTCATGTTTTATCTATAGTATACTTATAATTTCCTCACTACATTTGTCACGGTTTTTACTATTGTGTTCATTGTCTATAAATCATGCTTAATTTAAATTAATCCATCCGTGGGTCTTATGATCATTCATTTCTTCACGATTTCCAAATATGAGAATCAAGTTTATTTTTGACAAAAACAAGCTTTTTTTCCAATTTCAATTTTTAAATCATTCGAATTCTAAGGTCATTTCATTCAATTATCACGAGGTAGCTATATTTAGCGGGAAAATGTGGCGGGCAAATTTACATGCAGTTCACTGTACACCTTCTGGTTCACCCACAGCACCCCAGATTATATATATAGTTGTGATAGTTTTATATTTTTAGCCCGCATAGCTTGGGCCGCCCGCGCCGGCGTGCCTGCTCTTGGGGTAACTATTTTCAGTCAAATATGTCTTTTTACTTCAGAGTAAATTACTCTGCCGAGAAGCAAGTTACATGCATGATTGACTTGATTTTGGTGCAAAGTATAGGGATCACTGTCAACCAATTATAGTACGGCTCTGATAATAAATTAACTACCGGGAGTCCCAAAAAAAACTTGCGCTATTTGATTTAATGTAACATAAAAACTATAAAAGCTATTGCACTCAAATAAGTTTATTGCATTCAGGAAGGGCTAACTTAGATTTTGATATATAATATTTCAATATCCGTCAGGGCCTTTTTTAAGGATTTTCCCGTGGGGGGGGGGGCATTTTTTGAAAAGGGACCTTTCTGTGAGATAATATATTACAGGGAAATAGCAATGGGCTGAAGGCCACGTGTGTGACCAACATACCATGCACGCAATGCAAGGAGGGGGGGCTTTGGGGGTGTACTCCCCCAGAAAATTTTTGAAGTTTGAAGCACGGAAATGCCATTTCCTGCATTCTGAGCAACCAAATTTGCTCCAAAATGTATGCTAACTATACTTGTATTTGAAATAAAAGAAGGAAAAAACCAACAAAAAGTTAAAAAAACAAGTTAACCATAATTTATCATTACTTATTAGAGGAAGATACCAATGGTTACGTGTGTGGGGGTGTACTCCCCCGGAAAAGTTTTGAAATTTGAAACACGGAAATGCCATTTCCTGCATTCTGAGCATCCAAATTTGCTCTAAAATTTATGCTAACTATACTTGTATTTGAAATAAAAGAAGGAAAAAATGCACAAAAAGTAAAAAAGAATATTAACCGTAATTTATCATTATATTTATTAGCAGGGGCGGATCCAGA